GTGTGTGTGTGTGTGTGTGTGTGTGTGTGTGTGTGTGTGTGTGTGTGTGGTGTGTAGGGGGAGTCTGATGGCAGTTTGAGGGTGGTATATTTGTTTTTCATTTTCCTAACACACTGTGCCAAGTTTGGTACTCTTTCAGTTTCCAATTTTGCCTTCGGTGAAGGTTTCTCGAATCTCAGCAATCCCACACATAAACATTTATCGTTATATCCATTAAGACTTAAGGTTTTAGATTTTCAACTATGAGGGAGAACTCAGCCAAAGATGCTTGAAAGATAAATACGTTTAATTAGGGGCAGAGGATGATCATTAAAAGAAGTCTGACTGCTGCAGAAGTCATTAACAATCTTAAATGAAATTTTTATTTTTATGATAGCCATTTACATGTATAATAAGAGCCAATGATTCTTGGGAGCAGTGTGACAGAAACAGAGTGTGGCGAGAACTCATGTAAGACATACTATTTAAATGAGCTGGTGTTAGCTATTCATATTTGTTAATGAACTAGATATGCAGGGCTATAAGAATGAATGTTCTGATGCTTTAAATTTTAATATCTAGAAATCAAGGGTAAGGACCAATTACCAGAATTTTCACCCTTAAAGGAATAATTAATAACAATATAACAAATGTACAGCCCCAAACTTCTTTTTAAAAAGTTTAATTAAAAGAAAGAAAGAAAGAAAGAGAGAGAGAGAGAAAGAAAGAAAGAAAGAAAGAAAGAAAGAAAGAAAGAAAGAAAGAAAGATCAATGGTTGAAAAAAAGCCAAAACAGCACTGTCAGCCTGTGTAGCTTGTGACTGTAGCAGCTTTTTTTGTGTGTTGGTCATGGATCATAATTTCAAGGCTCTTAATATACAATGATCCATATGAGTGCCTTGCACACCCTGCTGTCCCCTGTAGTTAATGGAGACTGTGATGTAAGTGCTCTCACCTTTATAGTAAATAAACAAGCATTCTGGACTCAAAATAATTAAATAAAATGTAAATCCTAATATCATTAGGCTATTTAGACCAAGAAAGTTACCCAGCTATTACCTGTCTGGCTCTGATGATTGGTCATGATTTACTGTTCTTTTTCTTTATTATTGTTCTAAAAGTGCTCTGATGTGGTGCCTTGATGTCTAATGAAAAGAAATCAGTCTCAAAAAGCTCCTCATTGTTTATCCTGACTTGTAGATAACACATTTTTCTTCTGATAAAATATTTTTCTTATTTATTGTTTAAAACACACAATATAGACAATAATTCTAATTCTGGTGTGTTTTATTTAGGAGTGTTTTCTCCCCGGTGCCTGGCTGTCTGCAGTCATACCTCAGCACATAGCTTTCCCCTGAGATAAGCCCCTCTCCTTTGCTCTTTCTCCCCTACGCTCTGTAGTTTGTCTGCAGGATGCAGGTTTTGCACTGAAGAGTGTAGAGGAGTTCTTACTGTGCCTTTCCGGTCCTAGCACAATCAAAGTTTTGTGTTTGGAGCTGTCCTTGACATTCTTTCGTCCCACAATGGGGTGGACACAGTGTGCTGGAAACCATGACATCATTATCATTGACACAGACTTAAATAAATCACCTGCATCTTAGCCTTGTTCTGCTTATTCAAGGATTCTTCATCCTACAGAAGAAAGTATACTTTATTTTCACAAACCTTTAGCTCAAGGGTGACTGGAAAATGCAAACTTTTACAAGTGTTTGAAAAATAAATATACTATGTGGTTTTAGACAAGTATTGCTGAGTCAGAGGTCTATCCTGAAAAAGGTTAAAGATGAGAAAGGAAGCCATTGAGGCTTGCCAATAGTTGAGGGGAGGTATTCCTAAAGTGTGTATCATTATGTCCTTATGAATGTGGATTTACATAGACCCTAACACCTGAGAACGATCCACGACTCATCTTAGCAGAGTGAGTTTAGTATCCAAAAAGGAAAAAGGCTGGGCTCAGCAAGTTGGAGTAAATGCTTTCCAGGTAAATGTGTCACCGTCACCTCTGAACAGTTGTGCAATGTTTGGTAAAAGAAGGTTACAGCTCCTCAATGCACAAAGGGCCTAGTGCATGTCTGTGTAACTGACATTTAAAAATCTGGAAAGCAGACACTTACTGTAACTTCTCTTTACCTTTTCATAAGAAAATGACAACAAGGAAGGAAGTGCAGCAGAAAATCTTGTATATTATCACCATTATGTAGAAAGTAAAAATAAATAAATAAATAAATAATAAATTTTAAAAATAAAAGCTGTTACCTGTTTTCCCCTCAGTGACTCACTGTGCTCTCAAATGGAAAACTTATGATTCTTGTGACTCTTGGCTACCAGAAGTCACATGATATAAGTGAGGACAAAAGGCACAGAAGCTATATTTATTTCTAGTACTGAACTCAGAAATACCTATTTTGTTTCTTTCAAACAAAAATACCAAAAAGAGCTTCCCAAACCACTGATTATTACAAATGACAATACAATGATGATGTGTATTGAACTTCTAAATGTTCCATGCCAAATATCCCAGGGAATATATTCCTGGAATAAAGGAGATGCCTAGGGTCAGGAGTTAATTTGAAGTGGGTGCAGAGTCTAAATAAATATTACTAAAATTATGTGACTATTTTGAAGAATGGCATTAAATTGGTATCTATGTGTGTTTGTGCATCTGACAGGAACATGCTGTTTCAGCTTTGATTCCACATACAGATAGAGTCAATTTTGCTGTAACATTTTCTAGTAACTGTTTTTCCACCTCAGTAGTGTATTATGTGATAAACAGAAAATAATCTGGATAAATTTGAGAGTTCTACTTACAGTTCCTCGAGTTTTAATTGAAATGATTACAGCACAGTAATTTTCATCTTAGATCATATTCTGTTCTCATTAGCATTGTCACTGTAAAGCTACAGGTTTTTTTTTTTAAGTCCATGTTATGTTTGTTTATCTGAAGTATTTTGAACTGGCAGCTTGCCTTGCTCTGCCTTCCCACATACTCTATAATATAGTAGACAGGAACATTTCTTATTTTCTCCTTTAATTGAGAACATTACCATTTTCAAAAATGGCTTTTAATCATTCATGAATTTTCACCTTCAATTCTACTATTTTTATTTTTATCTTAACTAAAACATTGAGCTACTGTTTTCTCTGTATTTTTTTTATCAGAAATTGAAAATGATTACCTGTGGAGGCACAAATGCTTAAAACAAAATGCTATTTATGAGAAATAGGGGAGGAGAAATAAAAGAAAAAGACTTCATAATTTTATGCAAAACAGTAAATGGATATTTTTAATGCATCTGAAACATTAGCTTGTGAAATGAGGCATTTCAAGTTTTGGTGTACAAAATTGGGAATTTCTTTTTAAAAGTATGCTTGCTTAGACTAACACCATCATAGCTATAGTAAGAAGAAAGCAAGAAAGTAAAGTGAGATACTCTGATGTGCCACTAAGCACCCAGAGTTAGCAGTCACTTTTGACTCAACTCTTATTGAAAGAAATAACATCTCCCCACTGTTTGTTACTAGAACTGCCACCAGAAGAAAAGCCCTTCGTTTGCTTCAAATAAGCACCTCTGTTTTTCACAGCTTGCAGTGATGCTTAAAGTAAATAAGTTCTTGTGCAGCCAGCACTGTTGAATTCATTCAATCGCCTGAACAAAGCTACTGTTTACAGGTTTACAACAAGCCTTTTCTATTTCTCTTGAAAGGCTCCTCCTTGTTCCTATGTTTGGCATGCTTAGTATAGTAAGCCTTTCTATAATTTTCAAATGCTAAAGATAATTTTCTCCCACAGAAGAAATGAAGGAAGATTATGATGCTATGGGGCCAGAAGCCACGATCCAGACCACAATTAACAATGGTACAGGTAAGTTACATTTGCAATGCAACACCATGTTTGTTCCATGTCATGTGGGTTTCCTGAATCTGATAAAACACAGACCATTTGCACCTCCACAATTAACAAGAAGTTAGACTTCACAGGTCTGGTTTTCTTTCAAGTTTGAATTTGCCACATCTTTTACTTTATTTGGCAAATTTGTCTTCTACTACCATAATGCCTCTAAAGCTCTAGAATATTGAATTGTATGAATGGACTTATATGAATTTCACAGTGTGACTTATATGAATTTCTAGTTGTAATTTTTATCTTAAAAATATATTGCTAAATTATAATACTATATGCTGGTATTAGCTACCACTTGATGTCTATCACCGAGAAGTCAAGTGATATGATGTAATACAGACTGCAAAATAATTTTCCCAAAGCCAAATTTCCATTAACATTCCCTATAAAAGTTAATCATTTAATTTCTCTCAAATTCTCTCTTCCCTTTTAAATCTCTGCATCTGCTAGAGGAATCAAATAATATTTCTCAGACAGACTTTTAAACAAGAATTAACAGTTCTCTTCTCTTTAATTAAACTGATGGATAAGCAGCAGGGAGACAGGAAGCGGTGTTCTACTGGGCCCACTACTGCTGGAGGAGAGCGGGAGGTTAAGGTGACAGTCCATGCTCTAAGCAGCATCTCCTCTTGCAGCACAAAGTGACACGGACTCACTGTGCACATGTCTCTTTCTGCATGGCCCTATCTTCATGTTTCGAACAAGCCTCCCCCCCACTGTTACAAAGGCTAGCACAGTCCCCAGTTCAAAGTCATCTCCTAACACCAAGCAACAATGGTCATTGAACTGCTTCCCTTCAGCCTGACAATGAGAAACTGTACAGTTTTATGTGGCTTCAGACATGTAAATAATTAAGATGCTATTCACACTTGCTTATTATTATTGCTCATGCTATCTGTACATACTCTTATTACTTAAGAGACTATCTTGAGTGCAAAGTAAAAGAAATATTTTTTTAATTCTTATTTTTTTCTCCTTTGAATAATGTCAAATTTAGTACAAAACTGAAAGTGTACAACCATGTGGTTCTAGAAAAATCATAGAATCATGCACTGATAATTCTGATTTCTAGATGCAGCTTCAGCAATACCTAGATTACGACCCTGGGCAAATCAGTTCTCCTCTTAGGAACTCAGTTTCCATATCTGTAAAATGCACATGGTGAACTAGTTGACTGCTCAGAATATTTCTACTTTTAATATTCTATGTTCCTGGGATACCGTTTTTTTTTTTTATAAAAATAGACACAAACCCAAAAAATTTTATGTAAAATATAATAATAAAATACCATGAATTAAGTACTCCCCTCGAAAATGCTGGTTTGTGAGATTGCAAATGGCCTTAGGTTCCCTTAAAGAAAACTGTTAAGTCTCAGCTTCAAGCATTAATAAAGCTGATTTCATTTCCTTTGTGAGCACTGAGAGGGCAACAAGGTGACAATTTAACAGCCACTGTGTATACCTGAGTCCAACATGAGGTTAACGGAAATTATTCCAATCCAGGGGGGTTACAAATCAACCTTGAACACCCTTTCGCCAGGTTGAAGATGCCTTTTCTCCTAATACTCACTGTTTCTTTGACTTCATATGTATTCAGTCAATAAGTAAATCAATACATGTTCATTGAGTGTTTTCAATATAGTCCCTGTTGTGTGCATGTGTGGGAGAAGATGGGCCAGGAAGCCTAAGCCATGGTTATTATTTAATTTGGGATATAAGCTTAATTCACAAGAAAAATACAAGCAGTAAGTGAAAATATGTGGTAAATAGGCAACAAATGGTAGGAATCATAATTATTTGAATTACAGAAATAGAAAAGATCCTGCAAAGTGGAAATTTGTACACGTTTTATGAAGGAATTTGATTTTGTTTTGTTTTTCGAACACAGGATTTCCCTGTGTTGCCTTGGCTGTCCTGGACTTGTAGACCAGCCTTGAACTCACCTGCCTCTGCCTCCCAGGTGCTGGTATTAAAGGCGCGTGCACCACCCCACCCAGCTCAGAAAGTTGAATTTGAACTAAATGCATTTTCTGTAGTCAGGAAGGCACAGGGAAGGAAGATGTGGAGTATGTAAGCCAAAGGTGGGGGTGGAGGTAGATGCTAGTCAAAGGACAGTGAGTGAAAAGACATGGCTGAATTAAAGGGAACTTGTGGAAAATAACGTTGTAAATAAAAGGCAACTCTTTGAGAATATAAAGAGAGCATAAAAGGAAAGAAGTTGGGTCATGTTGTACCATCATGATGTCTCTGGGGAAAACCAGACGACTCGATAGCCCTATTATGCAGCACTGTTATGCAGCCATGAAGTGGTTTTTAAAGAGTTTGTCATAGGTGGTGAAGTGGGGAATTTTCAACAAGACTTCTTAATAACTGAGTGGCACAGGTAAAGAGGACATGTGTGTTTGTGAATATGTTTTGGATATGGTGATATTTGTTATCTCTGGATCAATAGATCTACTCATCTTTGAGAAGATCTTGAATCAGTTTTCAGACACATTTTCATATAAAAGTTATATATACAAAGTGCACTTGTGTATATTGTGTGTGTGGTGGGGAAAAGTGCAGGGTGTTTCTTTTCATTCTTAATTGAAACCAAGGACCGGAGAAAGCATGAGAGTCATGCAAATATATTCAGATGGTATTTAACTGATAAGACTTGGAGATTCACAGTGAAGAATGGGTTGACACTGGGCCTTTTGGTAGGTAGGAAAGAAATATCAAATTTACTAGAATAAAAAAAGGTTATAGGGAAAGAGGAAAAAAAAATCCTGAAGCAAAAGGTTTTATGAGGACTTTGCAGCCAGTCCTGATGAGACCTGATAAGATAGCATTAGATGGAAGGGAAAGAGGACCTCCCCTATCAGTGGACTTAGAGAGGAACAGGGAGGAGAAGAGGGATGGGATTGGGAAGGAATGAGGGAGGGGCTACAGCTGGGATACAAAGTAAATAAACTGTGATAATATAAAAAATAAAAATTTAATTAGAAAAAAAGAAAGCTAAAAAAAACACTTCAAAAAACGGAATGCTGGGCAAGCATGTTGGACTTGGTGTTTAGAAATTTAGTGGCACTTTTCAGTTTATGACTCAATCATCTCACAGAATAAGTATTTTGTTTTGTTTTTCTTCTCAGACATAAGTTTAGTATGTTTTAACACTTGCATATTTTTAAAAATTGAAATAATGCACCGTTTTTTGTTGTTGTTGGATTGTTTGCTTGTTTGAGTCAGTGTTTCTAGGCCAGGCTCGCCTCACAGTCACAAGCGTGATCTTGAACTGCTGGTCTTCCTGACTCCACTTACTTCCCAAGTACTGGGATGACAGGCATGAACTACCATGACTGGTCTTTCCTCTTCCTCCTCCTTCTTTTATGTGCTTTTGAGGCTGACCTCTGGGTGCCATGCATGCTAGGCAAACACTCCCCTGATTGAAACACATCCCTAGCCCTTGACATTTCTTCTTAATACAGCAGCCCCTCATCTCCTCTGGAGTCTCAAGAACATTCTAGGAACTCACTGATTAGGATAACCTTAGCTGGCTGGCCAGCAGAGTCCAGGGATTGCTCTGTCTCCACCTCTTTCATACTGCAATTACAAGTGCATGCTACTGTATCCAACATTTGATGAGGGGGGTGGTAAAATCAAGATCTCACTTTGTTGCCTTGGCTGGCCAGTAGCTCACTACGTAGACCAGGCTGGCCTTTACCTCATAGAAATGCCTCAACCTCACTAATGCTGGGATTAAAGGTGTGCCACCGAGGCGTGGCCATATCCAGTGTTTTCACATGGGTTCTAGGGATCAAACTTAGTCCTCCTGCTTGCACAGCAAGCACTTTCCTGGCTGAGCCATCTCCTCAGCCACTGACTAGACAATTTCAAAAAAGTTTGACATCCTGAATCACATCACAAGTTGTTACAACTCCTTCCATTGTTCTGCTATATCATTTAAGGTTCAAGTATGAAAGAAAGTTAGGAAGGCTATTCATTATTATTGCATCTATCCAGTGGGTCTTCTACCTCATTTAATCTTGAACCAGCGTCCTTAAATTGTAGAAGAGGAAGATTTAATAGTGCTTATATATAATAATTATATAATATATAATAATGTCAAATATGTTTTCATTCTTTCACAACTGACTACCTTCAGGATTCATTTTTTCCTCAGCCTGAATAACCATCAATAAACAAACACTCTTCTTCATTTGTTTTTCATCTTAAGCAGACAAAATTTAAACTGAGGCTTGAGGGAAAAAAACTTAAAAAAAATGGAATATTTAATATGTGCCCTCGGGGAACATAAAATTTTATAGGGCCATAGTAATAGGTAGACAAAACTTGCAAGTAATAATTGTTTTTTCATTATCTCTGCAAATCCGTGGTCATTTATTGAGACCCTACTAAGCCTAAGACTATTTTGTTAAGCACCCTGGGGAGAACAGTGAGCAAAGAGTAACCAGACCAACAAAAGACACACGAATGAGAAATGTGTGCCAAATACGTAACACAATGTTCAGACAAATACTGATCCATTACTAACCCGTGTTATTATTTTTACTTATGACAATATGTGTACGTGTTAAGTTGTTTCATTTGAGGTGCACCAATCTGTGTGGGTCCAAAGGCAAAACGTTGTATATGGTGGAGTTTCCTGACAAGAGAGCTGGGCTGTGTTAGACGTAGAGCAATAAAAAGATGCCTGGAGATTTCAAGAAAAGTTCTTGAGGAGAAGAGCTTCCTGAACATGCCTCTGGGGGAAGAAAGCAATGGAAAGCCTGGACGTATGAAAAGAGACTGGGGAAGCTATTAGAAGGGCGTGATGGGAGAAGGGGTAGCAGTTTCTTTGTTTTTTGTTTGTTTGTTTTGTTTTGTTTTTAGTAGTGTGTCAGAGAGGAAAATGATAGTTGAAACGAACTGACCAAGTTTAAGGTGTTCAGGGCATATTTATCATATAGCTTGTACTCGTGA